TACGGACGCCCGCGAGTGCGACAGAGACAGAGCGACTGGCGGCTGCCGCTCGGCCCTGCATGCAGCTTCTGTCTCTCTCGCACCCGTACGGGACGGCCCGCGAGTGCGACAGAGACAGAGCGACTGGCGGCTGCCGCTCGGCCCTGCAGCCGATGCGTGCCCCTGCAGCCCGCGCAAAGAACGCTGTGTTTTTAGCTTGTTTTTTTTTCCGTTCCGGATTATTTTAGTTCGTTTTTTATTCCTCTCTCGCGCCGCTATATAGTACGACAAGAAACGAGGTACATAAACAGCAGCCGTGCGCGCGTATTGTTTTGTTGCGAAAACGTTCTCGTTGTTATCGCGAAAGAAACGCGGGGAAATGGTTGGCAAAAAAAGCAAGTTGAGGGGAAGAAGGACGGAGAGCGCGGGGCGGGGCGGGGCGGGGCGGGGCGTCGTCCGTCGTCAAGTGGCGCTGCAGAGCACACGGACAGTTGGACATAATTAGCGACGAGTGCTGCTGTCGTCAGCGCTGTCGTCTGATTCCGAGCGGCGCTCTCTCTCTCTCTCCTTCTCGCACCCCTACGGGGCGCCCCACGAGTGCGAGAGAGACAGACAGCACTGGGCTGGGCTCGGCCAAGATGCTCGTACGGCGTGCGGCTCGCTGCGTTTGAACGGGACATGCCGACCGGATGCCGTGGCTTTTCCCCCGCAAGTCGCACCGTTGGCGAGGTGTGGACACTTCTTGGCCGCGGGTCACGGCGGGTGGGTCCGTGGAGGGCCACTGTTCCCATCCCCGTGGTTGCAGGGAGGCCGGGCGGGCCGTCGTTGCAAGAGCGAGGGAAGGCCGAGGGAAGGCCGTTGCAGCTGAATGGGCTGGGCCGGGCGTCTCTGTTTAGTCACACTAACTGGCGCTCTTTCAGGCCCTCCAGCCCTTTAGCTCCAGGCTGCAGGCGCCAAACATTGTTGTGCCCTCGGCGGCCCACTACCATTTCTCTCCGGCCGCGTCGAATCGGTGCGGCGCACAGTGGGCCGGAAGACCAGCGCGGCCGGCCGAAACCCCAAACGCGTTTTGAGCTCCAGAGCCGCTAAGCAGGCCTCGAACCGAGCGTGTGGCCCCACCAATGGATTTCTCGTTCGGAGAGCTATCCATTGGTGGGGTCACACGTTCGATTCTAGTCCCATTTAGCGACTCTGGAGCTCGAAACGCGTCCGGGGTTTTGACGGCCTCCTCCGGTCTTCCGGCCCACTGTGCTGCGGCAGTGGGGCAGCGGACCCCTTCCGTGGATATTGGCGCTGATGATGCGGTGGTGCACCGTTCCACCTCAATAACAGTTTGGCTTTGCCGGCAGCTGGCGCAGCTGCTATGCCTGCAGCTGTGTGTGAGAGAGAGAGGGAGAGGTGGGGGCCTTGTTGGCCTGTGCACAATCCTCATTGAAAATCAAATCAGCCCTTGTTTCGCCGCTGCACGATTTCTGCACCAGTGTTGCCCTCGTGACAAACGTCTGCTGCGGCTTCTTTTTCCCGTCCTTGTTATGCAGCCGATGTTGTTGTTGCTTCGATATCTCGAATTCATCTCGCGGAGGCGCTCGCCTAGGCGGCGCGGCGGCCCTTCCCCGCAGCGGACGCGGCCTGAAAGTGGAACGCCAACTGCAGCGAGACACGTCGAAGGGGAGCGCGCCGCGGCGCACCGCGCACGTCTGGCTGGGGACGGTCGGACGGACGAACTAGCGGCCGGACAGACAGGCAGACAGACAGACAGACAGACAGACAGACAGACAGACAGACAGACAGACAGACAGACAGACAGACAGACAGACAGACAGACAGACAGACAGACAGACAGACAGACAGACGAGCGTAGGCTGGACGCCGCAAAGATGGAGCGACAAGTATCGCGATTGAAATTGGCGGCGGCGAGTATCTGGAGGATGGGCTGCACCGCTTCAGGCTGACTCGGAGGGGATCGTCCGTCTCTCTCGCACCGCTACGGGACGCCCCGTGAGTGCGACAGAGGCGGCAGGCGTGGGAACGGCGGAGAAGTAGAGCCCCGCAGAGCGGCGGGAAAATGGGCGCTCCAGTGGAAAAGAGAGAAAAGGGAAGGCATAGGCCAGCGGTTCTCAACCTTTCTCGGCTCGCGACCCCAAATTTGAAGCCAAAAATTTCCGCGACCCCCAGGAAAAATTTCGCGACCCCACGGGACCCCTCCTTTAACATGCCACGGCGTCTGATCCGAGGCGGGCATTTTGCTCCCTCAACGGGCAACTGGTCTTTGGACCTTCCTTTAGCATGCCTTTGTTACGGAGTGCAATTATCAGTCTTAGTTTGGGAGCAGTATTGTCTCAAAGTTGGCCAAAACGCTCAGAAATGTCTATGAAAAATCGTGTTTTGGGCTGATTTTAAGCAGCCACAGCGTCTGATCCGAGGCGGGCATTTTGCTCCCTCAACGGACAGTTGGTCTTTGGACCTTCCTTTAGCATGCCTTTGTTACGGAGTGCAATTATCAGTCTTAGTTTGGGAGCAGTATTGTCTCAAAGTTGGCCAAAACGCTCAGAAATGTCTATGAAAAATCGTGTTTTGGCTGATTTTAAGCAGCCACTGCGTCTGATCCGAGGCGGGCATTTTGCTCCCTCAACAGGCAGTTGATCTTTGGACCTTCCTTTAGCATGCCTTTGTTACGGAGTGCAATTATCAGTCTTAGTTTGAGAGCAGTATTGTCTCAAAGTTGGCCGAAACGCTCAGAAATGTCTATGAAAAATCGTGTTTTAGGCCGATTTTAAGCAGCCACTGCGTCTGATCCGAGGCGGGCATTTTGCTCCCTCAACGGGCAATTGGTCTTTGGACCTTCCTTTAGCATGCCTTTGTTACGGAGTGCGATTATCAGTCTTAGTTTGGGAGCAGTATTGTCTCAAAGTTGACCAAAATAATCACAACGATTTTTCAAAGACACTTGCGACCGTTTTGATCGACTTTGAGACAATACTGCTCCCAAACTAAGACTGACAATCGCACTCCGTAACAAAGGCATGCTAAAGGAAGGTCCAAAGACCAATTGCCCGTTGAGGGAGCAAAATGCCCGCCTCGGATCAGACGCAGTGGCTGCTTAAAATCGGCCCAAAACACGATTTTTCATAGACATTTCTGAGCGTTTCGGCCAACTTTGAGACAATACTGCTCCCAAACTAAGACTGATAATTGCACTCCGTAACAAAGGCATGCTAAAGGAAGGTCCAAAGACCGATTGCCCGTTGAGAGAGCAAAATGCCCGCCTCGGATCAGACGCAGTGGCTGCTTAAAATCGGCCCAAAACACGATTTTTCATAGACATTTCTGAGCGTTTCGGCCAACTTTGAGACAATACTGCTCCCAAACTAAGACTGATAATTGCACTCCGTAACAAAGGCATGCTAAAGGAAGGTCCAAAGACCGATTGCCCGTTGAGGGAGCAAAATGCCCGCCTCGGATCAGACGCAGTGGCTGCTTAAAATCGGCCTAAAACACGACCCCAGGATCGCCGCGACCCCTTAAAAAAATTTCGCGACCCCGCTTGGGGTCGCGACCCTAAGGTTGAGAACCACTGGCATAGGCGGAAATGGCTGTGCGGTGTGGGACGGAGTTGCATTAGTCCGACACCTCGGCAGTGCCTGGGCAGTGCCTGGGCAGTGCCTGGGCAATGCCTCGGCAGACGAAATTTAACGGGTTGAGTCACGGTCGGGCTGGAAAACGGAGTCCGAAACCGCAGAGGCACAGTGCGCCCCGTCGCGTCACGCGCGGCCTAATTGCTGCGCTGAGCGGCGGAGATTTTGAGTTTGGAAACGGAAGCGATGACTCCGTGGAGCGACTTCTGCACTGCGGCGGCGTCGCGTGAGCCGCAGCGACGCACGCGCGTTTGCCGGTGCAGACGCAAGCGCAGTGAGTGACACGCGTGACGGGACGGCGTGACGCGGCGTGACAGTCACGCAACGCGTCTGTCTCTCTCTCTCTCCCGCCCCCCTGCTGTCTGTCTGTCTCTCTCCCTTCCCTTGCCAGTGTGAGGCATGAAGTAAGTGGCCGTAGGACCGCGCAAGAGGCCGCCAAGTGACACACACATGCACACGACAGACCGGGATTTTCGCGCGCAGTGTTTTGTTTTCGTCCTTTGGCAGACCCCTTTGGCAGTGCCCTGACGTTGTTGTTGTTTTTGTTGCAGGTGCCTGCTAGGACCTGTCGAAAATTGGATCCAGTAAAAGAGGTGAGTACACTGTGGAGTGTGGACTTCGCGAGAAGCGGGTCGCCCGCCGCTGCATTTTAATTAAGATCGTGCATCTCTGTGTGCTTCCCACAATCTTTTCTTAATTTTTTTTAAATTACATTTTTTTTTAAATAGTGTGACACTTTTGTGTTCTGCGTTTGTGCTTTGACGTGGTGTAGGTGCCCCTTTTCCGTTGGTGTGACGTGACGGCCTAGTCCGAGAGGGGCGGGGCGGGGCGGGGCGGGCGAAACAGACCATGGAGCCTGGATGCTGCCGTGCGATAAGCCTTGCGATATTGCACAATAGTTCCGCCGTTGCCTCCGCGTCTGGCCCGTCTGGCCCGTCTTCCAGCAGACGACACCAGACTGCCTTTTATTAATGCATTCCGCGCCAAATTATGCAGATGAACCACGGGGAGGGGAGGGGAGGGGGGACTTGCAAATATTGCAGATCCGTTCCTTATTGTGTGCCCGACTGCCGAGCCGGAGTGCCGACCGCAACCAAAAAACGGCTGGAACCTGATTTTCTATTTTCTGCTCCTTTTTCTGCGTCGGCGGCGCGGCTCCGGTTTCCATGGTCCGGGAAAAGGCGGGTGTCGGCCGCTCTGCAGACTTTCCGAGAGTCGTTTTCGTCGCTCTGTCTCTCTCGCGCTCGACGCCGAGGTGAGTGCGAGAGAGACAGAGCGACGAAAACGACTACCGGAATCCGTCTCTGAGAGCCAAACGATGGAAACCGCGGCGGCCGGCCGGCGGAATCTTCATTGACGTAATAAACGGTGCTGCTGGTGCCACGCGGCGCTGCCCGCCCCGCCCCGCCACGCCACGCCGTGCCGTCCACTTGACGCTGTCGTTGGCGTCGGCGGCGTGTCGACGGCGTGGTGCGCGGCCGCGGTGACGCCGGCTGGCGACGCCGTAACCGGCGCTAGCCGCCACGCCGTGTTCGCGGTCCTCGGCGAGGTCCTCGGTGCGACGCCGCTGTAAACGGTTGCTTTTATGGCGCTTGGACGTCCGCGCCGTGCGGCGCCGCGCCAGGCCGTCTGGGCCGGCGCCACGCAGCCGAGCCGAGCCGAGCCGAGCCGAGCCGAGCCGGGCCGCTTTGGCGGCTTTGACCTCGCGGGGGCACTGGCCACGGCACTGGCAGTGCCGGCGGCAGGCGTTGACCAGGAACAGGATCGCCGGGGGTTTGTGCAGCAGACTGATTCCGAGAGTCGTTTTCGTCGCTCTGTCTCTCTCGCACCCCTGCGCGATGCCCCATGATCGCGAGAGAGACAGAGCGGCGTAAACGACTCCCGGAATCAGTCTGCAGGTTCGACGCGACGCGACGCGCGGAAGCGGTGACGGCGAAGGACGCCTGTCTCTCTCGCTCTTGCAAGTGATTCGTCGCGAATTCCAGAGACGCTACACTGAAATTCAGACGGTTGGTTGTTCTGCCAGGCCAGTACCGAAAAAAATGCTGATTGCAGACAAAGTTGCGGACCCGTCACGCGGTACTTGAAATAGCGCTCCGCCCGCGTGCAGCGCGTGAAGCACTGCCGGTCGGGTTTGATGGACGTCCCTGCCTGGCCTGCCTGGCCTGCCAGGTAGACGGCAACCCGTTCGGCTCGTTCCGAGAGGCGTTTTCGTCGCTCTGTCTCTCTCGCACTCATGGGGCGTCCCGCAGAGGTGCGAGAGAGACAGAGCGACGAACACTACTCTCGGCATAAGCCCGCTGGCAGTGCTGGCAGTCGTGGCAGGATCCTCGTTGGTCTCCGCGTGGCAGTGGCCTGGCGGCCTGGCCTGGCCCCGTGGCCTGGCTGTCATGCCGACAGTGGAGTGGCACTCGCGCTACACTGTTTCCAGGCGCTACACTGTGTCCAGGCGGCTCGCGGGGAACCCGAGGGGGGGGGGGCGGTATGAAAAAGTGGCGCTAAAAGGCGGAGGGAGTCGTGTGGAGAAACGCCGGTATCTGCTTGCGGGATTGCAACGCGCCTCAAGCAAATCGGAAACCACACGGATGTGTTTTTGTTTGTTTTTCGCTGCCGTTGCAATGAAAAAGGCGGCGCCGAGAGCGCCTGCGAGGTAGGCAGTCGGAGCGCTGGCGCGCACGGCTGCCGTGCGGTTGCCTGCCGCCAGGCGCTCGGCTCGGCTCGGCTCGACTCGACTCGGCCCGGCTCGGCTTGGCCCGGCTCGGCGCGCTCCACTAGGCCGGCTGATCTGCGGCGGCGATGGCGATGGCGATCCATTTTGCTCCGTGAAATTTGACGATGTGTTGGCCAACGCCAACGGGTTGTGCCGCCGTGGAGAATTGGCCGTCATCTGCTGCGGTCTGGCCGTCCTGTCCGGGCAGCCCTTCGCAGCCCTGCCTGCCGCGGCGTTCGGAACAGCCCTTTCGTTGCTCTGTCTCTCTCGCGCCCTTGAGGAGATCGCCATGAGTGCGACAGAGACAGAAGACTCCTCTGAATGGCTCGGCTGCTGCACACCGCCCGGCACTCGGCACGGCCCGTGTTTTGAAACGGACGTCACGTCGTGCGCTGACGGCCGAGGCCGTGATGGGGAAGGGGATGGGGATGTAGGTCGGTCCTGGCACAAATAGGTCACTCCCTCGCCGCCCCGGCCCGGCCCGGCCCGGCCCCGTCGGCACGGCCTCTTGCTGAATGGGGCTGCTCCGAGGGGGCGTCGCGGACCCGGGCCGCGCCAGCCGGGTGATTCAGAGAACAGCGGTTCGTCGCTCTGTCTCCCTTGCACCTAATGGAGAGCCCCATGGGTGCGACAGAGACAGAGCGACGGGATGGCTCTGCACAATGTCATTCCCGGGCGCGCCGCCCGCGTCTTCGCGCTTCGCATTCCAGCCGAGCTCGCCTGCAAGAGGCCGAGGCCGTCTCGTCGTGGGGTTGTCGGCGTGGAATCGGCCGAGACTCCCAGACCGGCGAGGCGAGGCTCATTGGCTCCGACTCATGTTCGCCCTTGCTCTTGTTGTGTTGCAGCCAGCGAGGCCGACGAAGGGGATGCATCCGGATCGGTAGGGGTGCGACATCGCCGCTCTGTGCCCCTGCCCCTCCTGCCGCTCGCCCCGGTACCCCCGGCACTGCCCGCCGCGGACATGGCCAACAGCCACGGGGGCGGCCCGGCCGGGGCCGGCGGCGGCGGGGGCGGCTCTGGCAGCGGCCCCGTGGGCGGCGGCGGCTCTGGAGGCGGCCCTGGGGGCGGCCCTGGAGGCGGGCACCGCCGGCAGGAGTCCATGTACGCCCTGACCGGGCTGTACGCCGACGCGTCCAACAGCAGTGGCAGCGACGGCGAGCGCGAGGCGACGAGTCGCAGCGACGCCCTGGGCAACAAGGTCCTGGCCAGCAAGACCCTCAGCCACGACAACACCCACGCCCCCTTCCACAAGGGCCACGCACGGAACTCCTCGCTGGGTGCGTGCACTCACAAATTGTGAATTTTCTAGAGAATTTTTCTTTGGCTCATTTTGGCTTTCCGATGAGCAAAGTGTTAAACTTATGTGTGGTTCTGCTGACTTGCCTCAGGCCTCGCGGAGAGGAAGGAGAAATGCCACCGGCGGACAGCGTCTCTGGGTGTCGTCCCGGAGAAGTCCCACCACCACAGCAACACCCACCACCACCACATTAGGAACTCCTCGCTGGGCCGCTTCGAGCACAACACCGTCAAGTGCCACATCCGCAATTTGTCGGGCGGGTTTGTGCCCCCGACGTTTGTGCCCTCAACCTTAGTGGAGAGGTAAGACCGGCAAAGACCCATTTTTCAGACTCTCAATACTCTTACTTTTGTTAAAGTAATGATTGATTGTTACTTTCTTTGATTCTAGAAGTGAGAAAAGTCACCCATCCTATCCAGAGATCCCCACAATTCTTTTACCAGAAACACAGGACTGTGGGATTCTTTCATGTAGGCCTCAAATCTTACAGCAGTTTGCCACCATCAAGGTAATTTTTTTTTCCAACAAAAATGAAAAGGAATGATAACACAGTCAAACTGATCATTTTTTTTCTTTCTAGGTGTTTGTGTTTCTTCTTTCGTTTTTAGTTACTTTGCAGCAAGCATTATCGTCAGGGTATATAAACTCTGTTATTACAACGATAGAAAAGAGGCAAGTAGTTTTTTGTTGTTGGTTTTTGTCTTTTTTTCTTTTGTCTACAATTGTTTTCCGATTCAAAACTAAAGCTGCAATGAAATATAATTGCCTCTTATTCCACTTTCCAGGTTTGAAATTCCATCCAGTTTATCAGGACTCATAGCCTCTTCTTATGAAATAGGAAATGTTATCACTGTGATTTTTGTGAGCTATCTCGGTAGCCGAAGGCACATTCCTGTATGGATTGCCATAGGTAAGTCTCGACATCACATTATGTAGAAATGTTATGAGTCATTGTGTTTCTCATCTTACTTTTATTAATTTTACAGGTGCTGTTATAATGGGAATCGGATCCCTTATCTTTATGGTTCCCCATTTTGTCGCTGAATCTCATGCCAGCTCTGCAATGAGCAATTCGTCCAACGATAATATTTGTAGAGCTGTGCCAATCAGAGACCAGGATATGGGACTGGGTCGTTTGTCGCCTCACAATAATCTGCGTGGGGACAATTGTATAAAGGGCACTCCATCGACAGCTGGACCAGTGTTGCTGTTTGTGGTGGCCCAGTTGCTACTTGGCTGTGGTGGATCTCCACTTTTCACTCTAGGAACGACATATATTGATGACCATGTCAGACCAGAGAGTGCTTCCCTATACATTGGGTGTATGTACAGTATGGCAGCATTTGGACCTGTGCTTGGTTTCCTACTAGGAGCCTACCTCCTCAGTTTCCACATGGATTCATTTTCAAGTCTACCAGTTACAATTGGTGCGTGCAAGCAAATTTTAATTAGTGCTTTTTATTGGTTTGATTTTATGATATATTTAATAAACAATATTTTGTACTTCCAGACCCGGGTGATCATAGATGGGTTGGCATGTGGTGGGGTGGATTTTTGCTTTGTGGATTGTTACTCATTTTAGTAGCAATACCATTTTTTTCATTCCCTAAAACACTAACGGTGAGTATTATTTGAATGTGTCATGTGCGTATTGCTATTGTGAGAACTCTCAAATGCACAGTATATGTCATGTGCTTTTTCCATTCAGAGAGAGAAAGAGAAGATAAGACTTGTTGAAAAGTCCCTACCTCACACTGAAACAAAGCCCAAACCCCAAAAGTCTTTAGCGGATGGTGCTGCAAATGGTTGTCCTGAAAATGGAGATTCAGGATATGGCAAGGACATTAAAGGTAAGCCCTAGCAGAAACTGTATGATATTTATCTGTTTCATTTAAATCTAGGACGTTTAATTTATTTCTTCTATATTGTGTGTTTCACTCAGATATACCAAGGAGCATGTGGCGTTTGGTGACCAACCCTGTGTATGTGGTGACATGTCTCGGTGCCTGCATGGAACTTGTCATTGTCTCTGGCTTTGTTGTTTTCCTGCCCAAGTACCTTGAAACTCAGTTCAGTTTGGGCAAAAGTCAAGCCAGTATCTTCACAGGTTAGTTTTTAGACAAAGATTTCAAAATATTCTGTGCTATAAAAATTTAGAATGAACATTTTCAACTGCAATTCTCTTTTACAGGGTCCATTGCTATACCAGGTGCATGTATTGGTATCTTTTTTGGTGGCTGTTTACTGAAAAGACTTGAACTGCGGCCCAAAGGAGCAGTTCAGTTTGTCCTCATCTCCAACACTGTATGCCTCGCATGTTATGGTCTACTCTTCTTCCTTGGTTGTGATAATGTGAAAATGGCCGGAACGACCATACCGTACTTCAACAGGTATGGCATCATAGTGTCATCAAGTAAGATTTGAATGGAACAAAAGATCATTTATTTTCATTTTCTTGCAGTAGTTCACATGAAGCTCCCTTCACCGTAAATCTCACAGCCGCCTGTAATTTTGGTTGTGAATGCGGTGTAAATGATGTAGAGCCCGTATGTGGAATCAATGGTTTGACTTACTTCAGTCCCTGCCATGCGGGATGTAGAGAGCTTTCATCTCGAACCAACTATACAAGCTGTGCTTGTGAGTAATCTACTAGAAATACTGTTTGAATTTATTATAATTTTGGAAAACTAATATTTTTTCTTGACTCAAATTTTTAGGCATTGATGGTAATATACCCTCTGCTGCGGGAACAGGAAACCGCTTTGCTGAAGTTACTGTAGTTCCTGTGGCTACAGCTGGGCCTTGCAGTTCACCATGCAAAACCATATTTCCATTCCTTATTCTGCTGTTTTTCATGACTTTTGTTGTTGCTGTTACTCAAATGCCCCTGTTAATGATTGTGCTGAGGTATGTTTTTGTTTTTGTCTTTTCTTATGTAATTATTCTCCTCTAAATTCAGCAGTAATAATCAATGTTGCATTTTTGTGTTATTTTAGGTCTGTCAATGAGGAAGAGCGTTCGTTTGCGTTGGGCATGCAGTTTGTTATTTTCCGTCTCTTTGGATACATTCCTGCTCCAATCCTCTTTGGAAACTTGATTGATTCTACTTGCATTCTGTGGAAACAAACATGTGGAGAGAAAGGAGGAAGATGCCTCTTATATGACATTGAGCAGTTTAGATACAAGTAAGGACTCTTTCTTTCTGTGCAAGTAATATTTTGCCCTTTTCTTGTGCATTCATCCCTAAATATCCAATCTTTCACTTTTGAAGGTATGTTGGCCTGTGTGCTGGCATTAAGATTCTGGCATTGATCCTTTTCTCTTTGGATTGGTGGCTTGTCAGACGACGTAAGCGGCTTGAAGAACATCAGGATCTTTCTGTTCATGATATTGTTGGATCAATTATTAGCTTGGATAAATGTAAGTAAATACAATATGAGCATGCAGAGAGAAAAATCGATTAAACCTTAAAATCTAATTTTTTTAAAATACGTTTTTCAGTATTTGAAGAGAAGTCTGGTACTCTACCTCAAGATTCACAGTTATCGCCCTTACCATCGAACCACTCTGAGCAGCCCAGTGTCTCTTTAACTGCATCTCCTGCCAGTACAACCTACAGCACTGTTGTGTCTCAGGCACTAGAGAGGCGACTGTCTGGAGAGACGCCTCTCACTACTCCTCGCCTGAGTCAAGAAATGGAGATTCACAGGAGGCAACGGGCAAGGAGAGATCACGTAGATCGGAGGCCATCTAATACATCCTCCACATCTACAGCATCACCGCTTCCCCATTTAGGTGGAAACATCAACCGTGCCCTTGTTTTGGGCGAAGGGCCAGATGTAGATAATAGTTTAAGTACTGAAGTTTCAGCACTATGATGAACGAATTCACAATAAGAGGAGTTTATATTTTTGTTGGAGATTCAGGATGATGAAATTTGTGATGTTTTGTTGAATTATATAATGTTTATTACAGTGTCCCATGCAAAGTTTTGATGAGTCTGTTTAGTGCTCAGTGCAAAAAAGCACTTCAAGATGCTTTTTTGGTGTCTACAAGAGAGCATGTGTGATCTAGATGTTTATATTTTACAAGTGATTTCTTTCCATTACACTCAATCATAAATGTATATTATAATTTTTTAAAGTCATTAATGAACTGAGTATGTACGAGTAGATGAATAAAAATGTTTAACTTTAGTAATCCTATTTGTGTATGTGAGAATGAATGATTGATTACTTTTGTTTATCATCAAATAATTAAGGTGCTTTTTTTGTTAGCACAAAACATGTAAAATTACTATTTGTCAATATAAATTTTTACTTTGTGGATTCCCTACTTGGGAAAGTGTAAGGGTGATAAGGAGTGCAGCTGCACTTTAACAGAAATACGTATGTCAATTATTACTATGAAACAAAACTCATTCATTTTAATTTTTGATGTGCACAACAGCCTATACAATTTATTCCCAATGCTTTTGGTCTCTATCTAAACTTGGGTTGTAGCACATCCTTACACTTAATTTTCGATGTTAACCTACATTAAACCCAATTTTAAACAAATATTTGACAAAGTTCAAGTGCATGTGATATTCTTGTCTTTACTTTTTGACTAAAATCCTTCTGCAGTTCTCAGTATGTTGTTGCCATACTTATGATCACCTCTCTTACCTATTTTTTCCTTCTTTGCTTCATTTTGGTTTCTAATAGTGAGTCTTTGTGGCATGTGTTGTACTTAAACGCTTAACATATTTGTGCTACAAAATAGCGAGTGTTTTGATTAAAGATACGTGCATCACTTAGGAATCACATGTTTTCTTCTCAACAATACTTCTACATTTGTAGTTAGCTCCCCCTCACAATAAAGTTAGAGAATTATGTTATTTAAACAATTTTATTTATTTTGGCTCTTGTACAATTGCGGTGGATTCAACCAGTCACTAGAAGAAGCAAGATGTAGTCAAATTAATTATGTTTTGACACTGAATTCATGAATTGATTTTTGGCTGCTTTCCTTGTAAGACAAGTATAACTCAAATTAATGAAAGTAATAATGCACAGTAATTAGTCTGTGGTAGATTATGTTGGTTAGCAAATTTTTTTAAGTGCTTGACTTTGTATTAATTTTTCCCACCAATCGAGGTATAGAGAACTCAAGCAACTTCAAAACGTTGTTTAAAAAAATTCAGGAATGCAGGTGTGTAAAGTGCTGATTCATTCCTTATGTTTGTAATAGTAATGTGTTACAAACCAATGTGTATTATTATTATTATTGTATGTTTTGCCATGCTGTAAATTTCTTTAGAGTTTGCCCCTAATTGTCCATGTCTATCTGGTTTGAAACAAAAAATTGTTTCCGCTTGAGTTGTTGAAATGACCTTAATTAAATTGAAATTTGAAAGGGTTATCATATCTATGTTGTGATAGACTGTCCATAAACACATGTGAAACCTCAAGGAGTACTCGTGAAGTCCTCTCACCATTGTGATTCATAGTAAAATGCTGAATGATGTAAGACTGCACCTATGAATGTTTGAAGCAGAAATAAATTTCTGGTAAAAACATGCTGCCTGGTTTATTCCTTCATCCTGACCGTCCAACACTCTTTCCGGCAGCCCACCAGAAAATTTTTCTAGAAAAAGAAAATGAAAGCACATGATGACGTCCCTGGCGTGGGGCCGCCGCTGCCCTGCGGGCCCTGCCTGCCTCTAAAGTACAAAAATCTATTAAAATTGCATCATGAGAGAAGAGTTGCATGGACAGGCACACCGCACTGTCCCAAATATCTTGCACTCAAGATCATTCAAGATCGTAAATAAAACGCTAAATGCTCGTGAGCAGCCCAATTTCTGCTTGCGTGGGCTGCGGGAAAGTCGGAGGGGAAGGGAGGGGTGGGGTGGGGGGATGACGCGTCGCGCGTCATGTTCAAACCGCCGAAAGCTGCCACCAGCACTACCAACCTTGCGCAATCGCAATCATGATGCAGCGTCTGTAAATAGGAGTTTGCATGCACTGTGGTGCATGATAGGTTTCATTGAGCTGACATAGGATCGCGCTTTTCTGTGTGGCCTCATGAGAAATCGAGTATATGTCTGATTTTAAAATTTCCACGTTTCCACGAGGATTGCCAGAAACGATGAGGGAATACTTGACTTCCACATCGGTGCGGAATGGAAAGAAATGGGGAATATCATTCAGTCACTTTAGTCATTTCACCTAGAACACGGTGAGCATGTCGTCATCGTGAGCAAATCAATCCAGAAAGTTCTATCCTCAAGTTCAAGTTCTTGCTTACGGTGATTCATTGATCCAATGAAATCCCCCACATCACAAGCACACGAAAAACTCTGCTGGTTATGAATGGTATGGGAACCACATTGAGCATCAATCAGTCTCTAAATTTATTCCTCCTATACATAAGGGTCGGTTTAACTTGTCGGACACACAAACCTTCTCGAGCTGACGTGTATTCGAAAATGCCCACCACTGGCTTTGCACGAGTCACGTTGGCGGCCGTGTTCACCGACCATGACGTCACATCCTCCTCCACTTTTTCCTTTCGATTTGCAGCCATCTTGTCTAGGGCCTGTGTATTTCTAGGCGTCTCGCAGTGACTTACATTGAGTCTAATACGGGTTACATTCTCCAGCCGTTAAGAGATATTGTGAAGTGCATGGATCTGAAGGTGAGCTGAGTCCAGCAATCTATTGGAGTAAGATTTAGCGCTGGGCAGCGTGTACTTTTTGATATGTTTTTGAACACTACGTTAGGCCTATCGATCCTCCACCTGGTAGAAATAAGATATTTATCTCCGGATTCCGGCCAAGTTCGCTCCAAACGAATCTCCTAGCGATCGAGAACTTAATTTTCGTCGCTTTTGGCTGTGTAGCGGCTAATGCTGACTGTTGTCAAGTGCTTGGACAACTTTGGGCCGTGCCATGTAGGTTGGCCCTGCAGTTGCCTGTTGCCAAATTACATTAAATTCCTCTGTGCTACTTAACGGAGACTCACTCCTTTCTCTGGTGGACGAGATTTTAACATTCCCGATCGGTTTTGGACGCTAATTCTAACCTCACCGTTCTTGCAAAAATCCTTTGTCAGGTTAGTGGTCCTCCTTGGTGGCCGCAAGTGGTCTAATCTTTGGTATTATCATCTCCCGAAATATAGCTTTTATTGGCTTTGCACTTTTCCTCTCGAGAAGGCCGTTTTTGTTCAGATCTTAGGGCCAACCTGCCGTGGCTTTAGACGTTAATTTTGAGAGGGGAAACTTGTTAATCTGGTCCATGAATTATGAGATGTGTAATTGTGGATCTGGAAGGTTAACTTTGCCTTTCTCCACGGAACCTCAATCCTTGACAAGAATGATGAAATTTGTTCCAGTTATTTGTTTCTAACCAAGATTCTTTAGCATTTTTTACTTCAGTCGCAATTGTGTTGGTTTCAATGCCTATTAGGCTTTGAAGCTAACCTATTTCTGACTTGACCCTTATCATTTGTGTTGTATTCCATTGAAGTACACTGCAAAAGGTGTGATATCTAACCTTTGGGCTTTCTTGCTAGGGTATCTTGCCCCTGCCTTCATTTAATTCTTTTCTTAATTCAATGCTGTGCCGATGTCAAATGTTGAACCTTCTGTCAGTTGTATCATTGTCCAAGATAGACCAACTTTTTATAACTTTGTTTTTATAACATATGGCAATTTTATGTTGTGCAGTTCATTCTGTTGGTCTAACTTTATTTGTATTTTGTGTTTTATTTATTGCTCATTGCACACTAACTTGTGAGCTATGTTTTTGATCATGCTATTGTGTCAATTGGTGTTTCTATGTTCTAATCATGTTGTTTCCTTTTTTTGTTTGTTTCAGGTGCAATTGTTTTTTACCTAGCAGCCCCTTTCAAAGTTACTAGCATAGGCTTCAAGCCAGCAAGTATATTACCTACCTGTAAAGTAGCTACTATAAGATAGTTTTATATTATAATGGCATTGAAACGGATCAACAAAGAATTGATGGACCTGGGAAGGGATCCACCTGCTCAGTGTTCAGCTGGCCCTGTTGGTGATGACTTGTTTCACTGGCAAGCAACGATCATGGGACCACCAGACAGCCCATACCAAGGAGGAGTTTTCTTCTTAACAATTCACTTCCCTACGGATTATCCTTTTAAGCCACCTAAAGTGGCATTCACGACACGCATATATCATCCAAACATCAACAGCAACGGGAGTATTTGTTTGGATATTTTGAGGTCGCAGTGGTCACCCGCCCTCACCATCTCCAAAGTTCTATTGTCCATCTGCTCGCTGCTCTGCGATCCTAACCCAGATGACCCCCTGGTACCCGAAATCGCAAGGATCTACAAGACTGACCGAGAAAAATACAACGAACTAGCAAGAGAATGGACCCGCAAGTACGCTATGTGAAGAATTGGATGAGTTTGGGGTTCCACAAGTTTCTGATCCAGCTACGATTCTTTGAAGACTTCACCTGACGTCTGGAGACCTGTATCATTGTAGAATTAAATGAAGTTTTTAAATCTTTTGGAGACCGTTTTTTATTGTAAAATTTACTTTATACAGATTGTATCTTCATAAAAAATATGTCATGGAAAGTATTTGCTTCTGACGAGGTGATCTTCTGGAATCTGAGCCAAGCTCGTCAGGCTGGCAATATTATGCCAAGCATATATTCGTTTGTGATGAATCTTTCCCATAATGTTAAAATTAATTCAACCGATGTTAAACAATTTCTAAGTCCCTCTTGACTCAGGCTGTGAGTTGAGTCAGAACACTGTTTGATAGTGGAAAATCCACAGCAGGTTCACTTGTCCTTGCAAGTTTGTGCTTGGCCAGCCTCAGTGTATGGAGCTCTGAGGTACCTTGCAACTGTACCGTAACTTTCAGCACCATCTGACATCCAGTACCTGTGTACTGTTGCTGTCGAGTGCTTATGTTTCAGATGCTTCATAGCGTAGAGCTTATGTACCAAATTTTATCCTACCCCACTTGACTATGTACTTTTGCCTATGTGATTTTACATTTTCAGTGGGCCTTCTTTGTCATCTCAATGTGGCCTATGATGAGGTGTAAGTGATTTGTACCATAGGTCAGATGTAAATGAATTCCTGTAAGTCAAGCACTGGTCTACGCTCAATCTTGCTCTCAGTACCTTCAAATTTAAATTGCACATTAAGTGCAGTTGTCTGCTGTCTTGGTTTTATTTATTCATTATTTTGTTTTATTTTTTATTTTATCTTTTTTGGACTGGGAGTTTTGCTATCATTAGCATGGGGAGTCGGTTGGCTGTTTCCAATTGCGGTTTGTCTGAATGGCTCCAATTCGTCCGCTATGTCCTAGGAAATACACTTTGTGTAAAAAAAATAAAATATTGAAAACACAATAAAAATATTTTAAAAATTGATGTATTGCTTTTCATTTCTTACACCTTGTCATATGACACCTTTCAAGGGGCTGGTGATTCCGACCATCGAGACGAGTTAAAATTTATTTTACATCATAATGTGGGGCACTTATGGAAATTGAGACATGGATTTAGGACTCCTAGAGGACGCTGGAAGGGAAGTCTCTGAGGGTGTGGGAGTACTCGGAGTGGGGTTTGTCTAACAGACCGGCTGCTGCTCGTTATCAATGCGGCCTATGACGCTGCACTGCATGAATGCACGCTCGTCTTGTCGCGCTCCGTACTTCGCAGTGCTTCGATGGGACAGGGAGGGACAGCCCGGGAAGCGGGGCGGCCTTCCTCTCCTTATCTGGACTCGCTCCGTCAGCTGCTCGCCGACATGGTGGCCGCCGTGGCCGCCAGCGCTGCTCGCGTGGGAGCGGGGCGGCCAGGGGCGGCCATCCTCAGGCCCAGGCCGCCAGCGTGCCTCTCGCTCCCTCTCGTTGGAGGCTAGTACCGGTGACAAGGACAGGACACAGTCGACTGCGTTTTCCAAGCGCAGCCTGGCCAAGCGGCCAAGGCATGGGGAGTGCGGTTGGTCAGCTGATGCCGGTCGCTGCTCCAAAATAGCTCGGCCGCGGCGATACCCCGCGCCTACAGCGACCGCGACTTGGACGCGCTGCTTCGGCCACCGGCCGCGGGATGGCGCTAGCGTCGCGGCGCGGTCGACGACGCGGACTCGGAGGCCCTCGTGGAGGTCAAGCCGCGCCGGTGGCTGCGGCGGTGGCTGCGGTGGCGCCGTGGTGTGGGAGGTCGTGCCCCTGAAAGCATCTCACGGCCACCGAATCGTGGAGTCATTCAAGGAGCAGGCCGTGCCTAGCAGTGCCGCCGTGCCTCGCCGGAGGGCGGACAGGGCGGCAGGTAGAGCTTATCACACCTGGACCAGGCTGGTTGTCTCGTCGCTACGACGAGTTTCCGGTCATTTTCTCATCACCGGCGTGTTGAAGTGCAGCCGTTTTGACACTGGTGGTTTTGACGTCCACACTCGTGGCTGGTGCCGCTGTGTCCGTGTGACACGCACACTAACGCACGCGTGCACGGCCTGGCTGGGTCCTTTCCATTTCAGTCCGCGGTGTTGGCGCGGCGTCCCGGATTGGCGGCCGGGGAGGGTGTGTCGGCCTCAGTCGGCCCGGTGGAGGGGGAAGGAGGGGAGCAGACGGGGTCCAGGACCCGTCGCAGTCGCAGTGCCCCCCGAAAATAATACCAAGAATAATAAAAACGAACGTGGAAGGAGGAGTGCCTGACGTCACAGTGCGTTGACCCCGGCCTGTCTGCATCAGGCACGCGTCGGGCGGGTGGGCCGGTCGCCCTCCCCCGGGCCCTTCCTGCCCTTCGGGAGGCTCCGGGACGGGGAACGACGGCGACGGGGGCGCTCACTCAAATAAAACGAAGCCAAGGGACAAGGGACGGGGAAGGGTTGGCCGGAGATCGTTGACACCGACACCGCGCTTCACCGTGCCGCTCTGCAGACTGATTCCGAGAGCCGTTTTCGTCGCTGTCTCTCTTGCTCCGACACGGGACGTCCCAAGAGTGCGAGAGAGACAGCGCGGCGGAGAGGACTCTCGGAGTCAGTATGCAGGGCTGCAAGGTCGCGGTCGTGTCGTCGTGTCCTAGGCCGACGGGGACGTCGCCGCCAAGCGGAGTGGAGTGGCGCGCAAGTCCTCCCTCGTCGTCATGACGTCATCGTCGTGCTGCTGCAGCGTGCAGCCTGGTGCAGCGCGCCGCCTGCAGGCCGGGAGCGAGAGAGAGAGACACTGACGGGGTCAACGACCAGCCGCAGGCAGGACACACGCGCACACACGAGTGCATGCACACTATGAGCCATAGCTTTTCATGTCACGTACCCCCACCCTCCAGATTGGTATTGCATCGGTTGCTGTGACATCCAGCAATTCAGTGCTTGCCTGTTGATTCATTTAGAGATCCAGTCTGGAGGGGAGGGGGCACTGGACGAAGGGGAGACCATTGTGAGCACAATGCTAGTGCTGTACTGCACAGTACCCACACTGAACCCACTGGACAAACGGCGGGCGCGGCTGTTTGGAAGTGTTAGGTACACAGGCCCGGCCCGAAATGGATTTTCGGCGTTTAAATATTTCAAGCACGGCGGCGCGACACTGTACTCTCCCGCCGGCCGCCGACATGTAGAGTGCAGAGTGAGTTACAGCCACGGCGTGCCACGGCGTGCCACGGCACGGCGCGGCCCTCCAAGGTCTGCCAAGGTCCCGGCTAACGTCCGCGAAATGGACTCCTCGGGGGTCTTTGACTCTTAAGTCTAGTCGTTTGGCGGGGCCGCGGAGTGGCGCGGAGTGGCGCGGAGCGTTCGGCGATCTCGGGTTCGAATCCCGGCCGCGCCCTCCACGCCCATTCCCCATTCATCCGAGTGCTCATGTTGCCGGCCGCCGCGCCGCTGGAGGTCGTCGCACTCATGATAGCCGGCGGTGGCGGTGTGGCGGTGGACGCGGTGGCCGGCCGCAGGTGTGATGCTCAGTCATGCACGTGCTGCAGCAGGCTCATTCCGAGCACTGCTTGTCGCTCTGTCTCTCTCGCACCCTTGCGGGACGCCCCATGAGTGCGAGAGAGACGGAGTTTTGAAAGCGGAGGTCGGAATCCGTCTGCTGTCGTCCTCCTGTACCGGCTCCACAACAAACAGATCTGCCAAACAGACGGACAGATAGACAGACACTCGAATGTGGCGTTTGGCGCGGCTGTCGCGGCTATCGCCTAGCCCTTGTGCAGCCTCCGTCACCACACTGCCGCTGATAGGCGTCCACCGCGCCGCCCACCTTCCTCACGCTTCTGGTCCTTATCATCAGTAGCGTAATCGGCGACCGGCGCGGCCAGCAAGAGACGACGAGGCCCAGCCCCGCCCCCTTCCACCGCACTTCAACTCAAATTTGGCGATTCCCGCGCTCTCTCTCTATTTTCCACCCCCACAGTTTATTCATCAAATTCCAGCGAGCGTTTCTTGGCCGAGGATTAAGAGGAAGGGTGCAGGCAGACGCGTTCCCACATGAGCGCCCCCTCCCCTCCCCCTCCCCTCCGACGCAACATGCATTGGTAGGTCGTCGACCCGGCCGGCGTGGAGCGGTTGGAGCGGCATTCAATACAGGGTGCCTCAGAATACGGGGTAACCGAGCCTCCGTCCTCGGGTTCGGGTTCCAGGTTCGAACCACCACAGAGTCCACTGCCGGCCTCGGCGTTAAATGCCCTGAAATAGTTGACGAAGGCGGGTCTGAGAGTCCGGGGCCCTAGGTGCTGCGACTGAGGCATTGCCCTCCATCCCGACTCTGAACAATGGAACCTAACCTAACCTAACCAAACACTTCTGGCCCGTTAGTTTTAACCTAGGATAGTCTAAATTTGTTGTCCCTCGTAGAAGTCTTTCGCCTGAGGACTTAATTGCTGGAGCCAGCGCCAGTGGCTTCGAGGCGTAGGCGTCGCGCGGTGACGTCACTGGTTGTAATTACAAAGCAGGCGACCCCGCCCTCTGGCCATGCCTCTGGCCTGTAGCACCCCGCATGGCATCGGGATTCGGATTAGGAGTCGTCGCAGAATCTCGAGGGACCATGGTGCGACGGCGGAGCAGTGGAGCAGAAGTTAGGTTAGGCGTTCCGCTCGACTCGGAGTCGCACCGTCCTTCGCCGAGAAGCACTACTCGAAGGGGCGGGGGCTGCGAGGCTTGCTGCGAGGCTGCGAGTGACGCAGTGGGGTTCCGAGACTCGTTTTCGTCGCTCTGTCTCTCTCGCTCCTGCACGGCACGCCCCGCGAGTGCGAGAGAGACAGAGCGACAGGGCCAAAGCTTCCGCAACGGGGCCTGTTTACTTTCCGCGGCATTGCGATTTACAGCCGCCACGCACGCCGCGCGCGGGAAAAGCGGGCAAAGTGATTTAGGCGTCTTGCTGCATTTGTTTTCCCTTCTCACTTTATCTCGCTCGCGGGCTGCATATCATTCACCCGGACGTGCGTGCCCCCCCCCTTCCCCTCCCTCGTTTTCGTTTTTGTTGCCAAGCCTCAAGGGGAGTGCACCTGTTCTCTTCCACGTTCCGCGAGTACCAGGTGGCTCAGGGCCCAGTATGCAGCCATGATGCAGCATCGGCAAACAGCCCTAAAAGGGTGGGGCGGGACTACACTGTTACGGCGTTCGGGCACTCGTGCACCCTCACCTTGAGCAGGCACTTGTTGGAGTGCAGCGCGGGTGCAGCGTCTATTTGCGTCTCGCCGAGGTCCTACACCTGTTGAGTGCTGCGTGCGTGCGTGCGCGTGTCACACTCTCCAAGATAGGGGAGTACTTGGCGGTCCTTCTTACGCGCCACGGGCTGCCTACCCACTGCTTGGCAGGCTGACAGACTCGTGGAGACGGAACGTTGCCAGAGTTATGATTGCGCCAACATTTTGTCAAGGTTTCGGTTTATCGGCGTTTATCCCCCCTACCCTTGTCCGCCCCTGTCCTTGTCCCTGCACGCGGCCTTTCCGTGTCCTGCTGTCGCACGCGCCCCTCTCCGTGTCCTTCGCCCATCATCCAGACGTGCTTCTCGAGGTCCTTCTAGACGTCGCTCTGCCCCGCGGCGCCCCGCCGCGCCCAGCTCCGTGTAGTCAGTTAGGCCAGGCCAGACGGATTCAATTATGTGCGCCAAGCCATGGCAAGCCATGGCGGCGGGCTCTCTGTCTCCTAG